CCTCCTCCTCCTCCTCCTCCCCCTCCCCCTCCCCCTCCCCCTCCGCCCGACCGCCCTTTCCTCTGCGGCGGGACGGGCCTGGGGCGACCCTGGAGAGCCGGCGGCGGCAGACCCGGGCCGAGCTCGGGGCGCAGCGGCAGGAGGGCGAGCGCCCGCGGCGGCATCCACGGGCCCCTGGGCGTTGCTTCCTGGGCGGGGGGCGATGCGTAAATGGGGGTGGGGACCCAGACCCCCTCGAGCAATGAACAAATCGTGACGCCACATGCTTCACAATGTTCAGCCTCCGGGGGCCCTTCCCGGGCCTCAGGACCGTCAAAAAACATGACTCGAGGGGAAAAACGCTCCCGGGGAAGGGGTCGAGACCTCTGGGGGTCGACGTTCTTTAAAAAATCATGGCGTCGGGGGTCTGTGAAGCGTGCACCTTTCGTGTCCCCTCTGGAGCCCCAGAGGGCCGTTTGAGGGCCCCTCAGGTGCACGAGAGGTGCACCTTCCTTCATCCCACTCCCAGGCATCGCCCCGCCATCGGCTACACGCAGGAGCGACCCTGGGCAAGAGTGGCCTCGGGTGCCCGGCTTTTCGGGAGGGCGCGGAGGGGGGGACCAAACACACAGGCGCGCAAGACATGGCGCGACCATCGCACCGCGCTCGGCGATCGGGGGGCCCCAGTGGGCCCGCACCAACGGTCACTCCAGCGCAAGGTCACTCTTACGGTGAGGGCATTGGCTGAGGAACCCTCGGATCAGGAATCCAGGGTCTGGAAGCCGGTGGAGCACCAACTGAGGCTTGGCCATGGATACCACCGTCGCCCCCATCAGATAAGGAATGCTCCAGGGTCTGGAACTTCCTGGGCGCATTCCTCCTCGAACGCTAAAACAGGGCTAGGATCGGGATAAATCGCTCCAGAGCGTTCCGGAGCGCTCTCAGAGCGTTCCGGAACGCTTTGGAGCGGCCGCGGCGCCCAATACATCCTCCAAACCCGCCGATTCTCAAAGATTTCGAGTTATCCCGATCCGATTGTGTCCCGATCTTCGCGTCGTCTTATACGTGTAGCCGACGCCATCACGCCACGCCCGGGGCCCCCAGCAGCGGGGGCGCGCCGGGCGCTGCACTGCGGCCCCCAGGGTCTCCTCTGGGACCGCCCCGCTGCAGCGGGGGGCCCTGGGGCCCCGGCGCCGCCGCCTTCTCGCGCCGCGCGACCTCGCCCCAT